CGAAATCAAATATTCATCCCTATCCCTAGCAAATGATTTAATTATTCATATCAAAATAAACTAAACATAAGATTCATTGCATATTATCATTAAAAGAAGAACAACTTACAAGTAATCCAAGTTGATGAATAAGGTTGATACAAACGCCAAACCGAGAATAAATGTACACCAAATAAAATACAAACTTCTCCAAAATTCCTTCTCCTAAACACTTCTTTCTCAAGACAAGTATTTAAGAAGAGGAATTAAATATTAGAATGTTACATGAATCATCTCACACTTAAAAAAACTCTCCCCAAATACAACATACAATAAAAAGAAAAGAAAATAAAAAGAAGAAGAAAATGAAGAGGGAAGAGGGGAAGAACCCCTCTTGGTTCAAGCATGCATGGAAGGTGAAAAAATGGTGAATTATGGGTTGCCAAATGATGTTGGATGATGATAGATATATAGAGACTTGAAGAGAGTGAGTAGATCATCTTCCTTAGCATCATTAGCATATTTTTAGGCTAGAAATTCGGTCCCAAGTCTTCCCCCACTCTCAACCACTATGAAAATAGGCCAGAAAATGAGGTATCAGCTGTCTGCCTGTTGGGTTCGCCTGTACCGTACGAGCTATACGCAGCGGAATTTAATTTTTTTTTAAAACATGTATTTAACAATTAAATACATAACTCGTACATACATATGGCGAATTAACAGATCGTCATCTTTAAAAACATGTAATAATACAAATTTTGATTTGTTTGATAGTAAATACAATATTTACCGTTAAACTTGAACTCCTTCAAAATCGTAGATGGATTGAGGAAATCGGTTTCCGGATTGGTAACTTCACTTCTCGTACTTGTGGTTACTCGCTTTAGAAATCCAAGTATCTTCCCTCTAAACGTATCCACCTTTTTGAAATCCGGTTCCGATGACAGCTTCTTCGCTAGTAGAAACTTCTCGGTTTTCAAATAAATATGGAATATAATTTATAAGGAAATTTTACAAGAACTCTTTCTTGTATTTTGAGAAATAATTCAACTATTGAATTTCTTTACAAAACTCCTTTTGTAAAGCTTCTCAAAGACTAAGTTAAAAACAAGAACTTTTTCTTGTTTTAAAAGAAATAATTCAACTCTTTGAATTTATTTACAAAACCTTTTTGTAAATTTTTTAAGATCTAAATTCAAGAACTCTTTCTTGATTTAGATTATGACGAACACTTCTTCTTATTTCTTTTTCAACTATTGAAAACTTAGCAAAATCAAAATGGAAGACTTCATCATTTTTGTGCAAACCCTTTACACATATTTATACTAAACTTTTTAGTATAAAATAATCAATATTTAGTAATATTTAAATAAAATCAGATTTTATTTAAATATGATTACTAACTATTGACTTTTATATAATAAACAATATGGAGTGGTTCTCAACCTCTCTTAACCACCATCTATTATAATCCTTAATTATTTTAATCTTTAATTATATTAAAGATAAAATAATAAAATATTAAAATAATAATTCTTGAAAACGTTTTTCAAGACTTTATTATTTTAATCATTTCTTCCAATTTCCTTATTTAATAATCAT